GGGGGCTTCTCAGCTCATAGGGGTTGGGCTCGGAGCTAGGGGTCAGGACTGGGTGGCGCTGGGGGGGACGGGGTTCGGCAGGGCTGGGTGGCCCGTGGGGGGGGGGGGCCTGTTTCAGCACGGCCGGGGGTTTTGGCCCTCAGCTATTTTCTTTGGAGTAATATGGCCCTCGCTGCTTTACGAGTTGTGCAGGCCTGCTCTAAAGTATGAATTGCAGCAGATTGACCCAATCCAGTGAAATCCATGGCTTTCTCAGCTACACAAAGCTGACCTTTCAGAAGAGAGGTAAGAGTCCACAAAAGGTACTTGGGAGTGTGTACAGTGCTTGAGTGTAGAATATAATAGTAGAAATGGGAAATCCAGGATCATTATTATATTGGAAGGGTCCTGCACTTGATCATTTTTGGAGGGGTTAATGAGCTTGTCCATGGGTTTTTTAACCTGATTATAAAGAGGAAGATGTAATAACTGAGCAGTCAGCAAGGGTGAAGTTCAGCTTTGGTCACGGCCATTTAAATTGGTCAAATTTTTCAAAAAAGGCTCCTACCTCACTTAATTGCTTTTGAATATTTTTTTTTATCCTTTATGAATTTAAGACTGTTGGTTACAAGATGTATCTAAGTACGGAGCAGTGGCAGAAACAATTCCCTCTGCCAGTTACTGTGGATTTGTAATATCACTCTCTCCCTTGTTGCTGTGAAAAATGCCTATACATGCCGGGGAGGAGGAGGAGGAGGAGGAGAAAATGACTACACAAAGTTTAGTCAAAGGCACAAAGTAAACCAAAAAAATGCCTCTTAATCTTTTAGTTACAGTAATCTTAACAGTTACTTGTGAAGACAGTAAATTAATCATTTAGAGAGGTGATGTTTAAGTGACAGTGTACCTTTAAAGTTCAATTCTAGCTGACTGACTAAAGCATCCATACTGCATTAGGACATCTGGGGACTCAATGAACATGCTCAGAATTTCCTGGCATCATTCCCAAGAACCAAGTTTGCTATAAATGGTGATCAGCTGGGGAAATCACAGATGACACCTCTGGAAAGAAGGTGGTTCTAAAACACTGAATCTGGCACTTCATGGCCACTGGAGAAGCAACAAAAGCTAGTTTTAGCCCGCACTGTTCTTCCCAGAAGTCTGGCAATACAGAACAGTACAAGTTGGTTGTAGACTAGCCAGAGTTTTATAGTAGCTTATAGTTTTATTCTTCCTGTTATAAAGTATTTTATGATATGCAACTAAATCAGTTCTTTCAAATCACATTTCTTCCAATTTAATAAGTGCTCATACTTTGTCTGAAGTTGCATACAAAGAGAATATACAGTGCTGATTTTAAACTCATATTTGCAGTTGCAAAAATGTTGGCAACATACTGTTCTTTTACAGACCAGCCTCTTGCATACATTTAAGAATTTTGGCTTTAATCCACACTGATTGGTTGAAAGATCTACAAAATGCCTACACACAAATGCAATTCACCATAACATTTCATAAAACTAGACACAACACAATGAAGATTCAGATAGCATTCCAGATCTGTGTGTTTGCAATGCAAAATGGAGTCAATTTTTTTTAAAAGTAAAAGCTTTGCCACATTTTAAATGATTTGTTTTGACTAGAATACTGATCTTTTACCAAGTAAATTATATTTTCAGAAGACCGAAATTTGCAAACATGCTAGCATTTTGTTGTACTTACAGATACTTCTGTATTTTTGTGGCTCTTAGTTTTGCAAGTTTCCACACTTACAAGAAGAGACATGAAATCGGATGCCTAGATTTCACATTAAGTTACTATTACTTGGGCCCATATTTCTATTAATTGTACTTTTAAACTATACTAGAACTTTACTGCAAAAATAAAAGACTTAATTCTGCCTTTAGCTGCAAAGGTGCAGTGTCATTGAAGCCTATAGTTTGCAGTGAGGTAACTGAGTGTAGATTTAGGCCGTTTGTCTTAAACTACATGTTTCTGAACAGCAGTGTTGCAATTCTATAAACTACTTCAGGATTCTTTCCGAGTACCTACTTCTAAACCTGACTTCCTTCCTTTAACCTGAGCTTTTACTTTTGATTTTCTTTCTTAACTGAGTGCTCTTGGCTCAGGAGCTGGGGACAGAAAGACCAGATAATTGAGGGGAAACTAGATAAGTAACTTCATTTTATTTTCCAATCCAATCCACATGTTCTCTTTATGCAAAGAGAAGAGTTTGTGGCGCAGGATACAATCTGATTATAATGCAGTGGTATATTAACTATGGCAATTATAGATAACTTTTATAGTTGACTAAAGACAAGAATATGCTACTCATGCTAATACGTTGGTAAGGATCACATTTTCCAGAGCCACAAGTAATAGTAAATTACATTGTCTGCTACTGAACAGACATTCATACGTACTTCAACAAGCTGTGCTTTGTTAAGTCCTGGTCTGGTCTGTAACTTGAAGTGTCTTTTGTACCTTCGAAGTGTGTTTACTTGTAACTGATATAAGTCAACCTAGAAAGGAAGAAGAATATCATTAAAGTTAGCTGGGCTAAAGAGAGCATTAATTTGTTATTAATCGTAATGTACTTATGATTTAAAAGGTGAAGTAATAAACAAGTATGGAAACTAAGTTGAAGGCAGAAGCCTAGTTTCTCCACTTCTGGTATATGCATATGCTAAATATCATCCTGCTGACCCAGCCAGCCTTTAGTAGGCATTCAGCATAGAATAATGTTTTGAACTCATCTTCCCTCCTCTCCCCCAAAGACACTTAAAAGTAGAGTTAAGGCTTATTTCTGTGCTGAATGTCCATCACACCTTTTCTCCCTCTTAGGTGTGGAGAGTCGTATTTGGCACTAATTTGTGGACTCAGCTCAGTTTCATTTTTTCATTCATAGTTTGACTTTAATATGACCAAGCAAAGGCATAATACTAGTCAATCATTAATGCAAGGTCAAGAACTGTGCTCACAGGATGCCTTATAGTAGTATTTCATTAGTCAAAACTTTGCAGACACGATGTACAAGAAATAGTACAGCTGTGCCATAACATCTGTGCAACAGGAGACTGAAAAAAACTAGCATGCTATAAGTTTCTTTAGTTTGGAGTGGCAGAAGAGAACAGTTGTTCATGATCTGTGAATATATTGCCTCTACAGAGCCACAATGTAGTAGTTATGTGCATAGCCAGAGTCCCACAGAATTATTGTCCATCAGGATAATTGAGGGGAATTGCATCCGAAGAAGTGAGGTTTTAACTCACGAAAGCTTATGCCCAAATAAATCTGTTAGTCTTTAAGGTGCCACCAGACTCCTTGTTGTTTTTGTAGATGCAGACTAACACGGCTACCCCCTGATACTTGTCCATCAGGAGTTAGCATCTCCTTAAGTCCTACATTTCATAGGCCACGGATATAAATACCCACACCTCGGCCCAGTGCTCCCTCAGTTTCTCTATTCCCAGAAGATCTATTTAGAGGGCACCACCTAGAGAACAAACATTACTATTAAGAAACCCCTTTTTCCTCTTTTCTGACTTGATCACCACACAGCCCTACTGTAGGAGATTAAGTAGCAGTAACCTCCCTGAGAAGATAGTTTGACTGAGAAGACCTGCTAAGTGAAAATGATTGCAACACTGCCCTTCCAAAACCAACATCTTGCTGTCATGAGAACTTGAAGTGATTAACTTAATACTATGAAGCAACCTTAATGATAGTTTTTAGGCTAAGTAGGCGAGCTCTTGCACACTTGGAAACTGGCCAAGCTTAGAATGGTGCCAGCCTCACAGCTCCTCCATAACCAAAGAATGGTGAAGAGGTGTGTCATTTGCCCCGTCTTCCCAGAATCAGATGTCTATGTGTTATATCTAGGGCCCTACCAAATTCACGGCCATGAAAAACATGTCACAGCCCATGAAATATGGTCTTTTGTGTGCTTTTACCCTATACTATACAGATTTCACAGATGAGACCAGCGTTTCTCAAATTGGGGGTCCTGACCCAAAAGGGAGTTGCAGGAGGGTTGCAAAGTTATTTTGGGGGGGGAGGGGTTGCAGTATTGCCACCCTTACTTGGCCGAACGCCCAGCTCTGCAGGCAGCAGCGCAATACCGTACCATGCTATCCTTACTTCTGCACTGCTACTGGCGGTGGCTCTGCCTTCAGAGCTGGGCTCCCGGCCAGAAGCCGCCGCTCTCCAGCTGCCCAGTTCTGAAGGCAGTTGCTGCCAGCAGCAGTGCAGAAGTAAGGGCAGTAGTACCCCAACACCCCCCCCCCATAACCTTGCGACTCCCCCACAACTCCTTTTTGGATCAGGACCCTTACAATTACAACACCATGAAATTTCAGATTTAAATATCTGAAATAATGACATTTACCATTTTTAAAATCTTATGACTGTGAAACTAACCAAAATGGATCATGAATTTGGTAGGGCCCTAGTTATATCTGATTTGTCTAGGGGAGTCCCATTCCCCAAACCAGTATTTGATTTGAGAAGCCTTTACCTCACCTGAGCAGAAAGGCAGATTAAGCTTTCCACAAGGTTCCAGAAGCTAGCAGTGCTGGGGATACCTTTTCCATCAGTGAAAATGTGCAGAAGCCACTACAAAGAACTACTGGTCCTGAGAACTCAGGTGGAGGCCAAGGCATTCTAGGAGGACCCTTGATTTCGTATTCAAGAGGCCACTGATGTAACAAGTGGAAGAACATACAGCCACACACATCTAAGATGCATGATACCCATATGAGGAAAACCTGGGTAAGAAACTCTGGTGTTGTCAAGAGTTGACAACTGAGGCTCTTCAGATGTGTTCCTGACCTAGACTTCTTTTGGAAGTGCAGCTGCAGCAGTCTGGCAAGGGACTTGCTTTTTATGATCCAGAGAAATCCATAGCACAAGATCAGTTGCATCAAGAACTGCAGACTCCACAGGAAAACAAAAAAAATCAGTTTCTGAGTATATCAATTCTATGGTTCCATGAGCACTGTGGAGTCATCTATGCGATGCAGGAGTGTGGATGAAAAGGCAATTTTAGATAAAATTTTCTATTAACTGATGAATGGATCTTACAAAGAAGAGAAACAGGACTCAGCAAAAACGACAAAAGGGAGCTGCCCTCTTTCAGTCTAAGATCTTTGCCATACTACTAATGCCTGAAGACACTTTGGGTATGTCTACACTGCTATTAAACACCTGCAGCTGAACCATGTCAGCTGACTTGGGCTTGCGGGGCTCGTGCTATGGGCTGTTTAACTGCAGTACAGATGTTGGGGTCCGGTCTGGAACCTGGGCTCTGGGATTCTCCTCTGAGCCCGAATGTCTACACTGCAATTAAACAGCCCTGTTTAAGTCAGGGCCAGCCACAGGGGTTTAATTGCAGTGTAGACATACCCCCTCAGGACATATGGATTGCCAACAACACTTGAAGGAGCAAGTTCTGAAGCAGGGTCTTAAAAGTGCTTTTGGGGGCCTTTTGGAGAAAGTCTCACAGGCATCACAGCCTCCAGCTGAGTGCACTTTCCCAGGTAATGCCCATCTGAAGGATAGACGGGAGAAAAAGGGAGGAGGTGTTGCCTTATATATTAATAATGTACACACTTGGACTGAGGTGGAGATGGACCTAGGAGACGGAAGTGTTGAAAGTCTCTGGGTTAGGCTAAAAGGGGTAAAAAACAAGGGTGATGCCATGCTAGGAGTCTACTACAGGCCACCTAACCAGATGGAAGAGGTGGATGAGGCTTTTTTTAAACAACTAACAAAATCATCCAAAGCTCAAGATTTGGTGGTGATGGGGGACTTCAACTATCCAGATACACCTCTACCTCAATATAACGCTGTCCTCGGGAGCCAAAAAAATCTTACCATGTTATAGGTGAAACCGCGTTATATTGAACTTGCTTTGATCCACCGGAGCACTGAGCCCCGCCCCCCCGGAGCACTGCTTTACCGCATTATAGCCGAATTTGTGTTATATCGGGTCGCATTATATCAAGGTAGAGGTGTATATGTTGGGATAATAACACAGCAGAGCACAGACTATCCAATAAGTTCTTGGTAGGGCCGGCTCTAGGCACCAGCTTAACAAGCAGGTGCTTGGGGCGGCCAAGGGAGAGGGGTGGCACCTGTGGCAATTTGGGGGCGGCAGGTCCCTCACTCCCTCTAGGAGCGAAGGACCTGCTGCTGAACTGGAAGGACCTGCTGCTGAACTGCTGCCGCCGATCGCGGCTTTTTTTTTTTGCTTGGGGCGGCAGAAATGCTGGAGCCAGCCCTGGTTCTTGGACTGCATTGCAGAAAACTTTTTATTTCAGAAGGTTGAAAAAGCTACTGGGGGAAGCAGTTCCAGATTTGATTTTAACAAACAGGGAGGAACTCATTGAGAATTTGAAAGTGGAAGGCAGCTTGGATGAAAGTGATCATGAAATCATAGAGTTCACAATTCTAAGGAAGAGTAGAAGGGAGTACAGGAAAATAGAGACAACGGATTTCAGGAAGGCAGATTCTGGTAAGCTCAGAGAGCTGATAGGTAAGGTCCCATGGGAATCAAGGAAAAACAACTGAGGAGAGTTGGCAGTATTTCAAAGGGATACTATTAAGGGCCCAAAAGCAAGCTATTCCGCTGGGTAGGAAAGAAAGAAAATGTGGCAAAAGACCAGCTTGGCTTAACCACAAGATCTTGCATGATCTAAAAAAATAAAAAGGAGTCATATAAAAAATGGAAACTTGGACAAATTACAAAGGATGAATATAGGCAAACAACACAGGAATGCAGGGGCAAGATTAGAAAGGCAAAGGCACAAAATTAGCTCAAACTAGCTACAGGAATAAAGGGAAACAAGATGACTTTTTATCAATACATTAGAAGCAAGAGGAAGATCAAGGGCAGTGTAGGCCCACTGCTCAGTGAGGAGGGAGAAACAGTAACAGGAAACTTGGAAATGGCAGAGATGCTTAATGACGTCTTTGTTTCGGTCTTCACCAAGAAGTCTGAAGGAATGCCTAACATAGTGAATGCTAATGGAAAGCGGTTAGGTTTGGAAGATAAAATAAAAAAAGAACAAGTTAAAAATCACTTAGAAAAGTTAGATGGCTGCAAGTCACCAGGGCCTGATGAAATGCATCCTAGAATACTCAAGGATCTAATAAAGGAGGTATCTGAGCCTCTAGCTATTATCTTTGGAAAATCATGGGAGACAGGAGAGATTCCAGAAAACTGGAAAAGGGCAAATATAGTACCCATCTATAAAAAGGGAAATAAAAACAACCCAGGAAAGTACAGACCAGTTAGTTTAACTTCTGTGCCAGGGAAGATAATGGAGCAAGTAATTAAAGAAATCATCTGCAAACACTTGGAAGGTGGTAAGGTGATAGGGAATATCCAGCATGGATTTGTAAAGAACAAATCATGTCAAACCAATCTGATAAGCTTTCTTTGATAGGATAACAAGTCTTGTGGATAAGGGAGAAGCGGTGGATGTGGTATACCTAGACCAGGGGTCTCAAACACACGGCCCGCAGGGTTCTTCCCTGCGGCCTGCCAGCTCCCCGCTGCCCGCCCCGGGCCAGATCCGGCCCCTCAGGGCATTGGATCCGGCCTGCGGATTTGCCAACCCCATGGTGTTGAGGGCCCCGCGCTGCTCCGGGAAGCGTCCCTGTGGCCCTGGGGAGAGGGGGCGCAGAGAGCTCCGTGAACTGCTGTTGCCTGTGGTTACCTCCCCTGAAACTCCCATTGGCCGGGAACAGGGAACCGCGGCCAATGGGAGCTTCGGGGGAGGTACCTGTAGGCAAGAGCAGCGCAGGGAGCTCTCTGCTCCCCCTCCCCTCTGGGCCGCAGGGACACGGTGCCCGCCTCTTCCCGGAGCGGAGTGGCACGGGGCTGGGGCCAGCAGGGAGCCTACCCTGGCCCCGATGCGCGCCCCTGCCACCCCAGAGCCGCTCCAGGTAACCCGCGCCAGGCCAGAACCCAAACCCCTCCTGCACCACAACTCCCTGCCCTGAGCCTCCTGCCTGCACCCCAACCTCCTGCCACACCCCGCACTCCCTCCTGCACCCCAACACTCTGCCCTGAGGCCTTGCCACATCCCATGCCCCTCCTGCACCCCAACCCCCTGCCCTGAGCCCCCTGCTGCACCCCGCAGGCAGGGGTGGAATGGGGGGGCAGGGCCAGGGACAGCGGGAGGCGGGTGATGCGGCCCTCGGGCCAACGTACGAGTCCTCATGTGGCCCTCCTGGTGATTCAAGTTTGAGACCCCTGACCTAGACTTTAGTAAGGCATTTGATATGGTCTCACATGATATTCTTGTCAATAAACTAGGCAAATATAACTTAGATTGGGCTACTATAAGGTGGGTGCATAACGGGCTGGATAACCATACTCAGAGAGTAGTTATTAATGGTTCCCAATCCTGCTGGAAAGGTATAACAAGTGGGGTTCTGCAGGGGTCTGTTTTGGGACCGGCTCTGTTCAATAACTTCATCAACGACTTAGATATTGGCATAGAAAGTACGCTTATTAAGTTTGCAGATGATACCAAACTGGGAGGGATTGCAACTGCTTTGGAGAATAGGGTCATAATTCAAAATGATCTGGACAAGTTGGAGAAATGGTCTGAGGTAAACAGGATGAAGTTTAATAAAGACAAATGCAAAGTGCTCCACTTAGGAAGGAACAATCAGTTTCACACATACAGAATGGGAAGAGACTGTCTAGGAAGGAGTACGGCAGAAAGGGATCTAGGGGTTATAGTGGACCACAAGCTAAATACGAGTCGACAGTGTGATGCTGTTGCAAAAAAAGCAAACATGATTCTGGGATGCATTAACAGGTGTGTTGTGAGCAAGACACGAGAAGTCATTCTTCCACTCTACTCTGCGTTAGGCCTCAACTGGAGTATTGTGTCCAGTTCTGGGCACCGCATTTCAAGAAAGAGGTGGAGAAATTGGGGAGGGTCCAGAGAAGAGCAACAAGAATGATTAAAGGTCTAGAGAACATGACCTATGAAGGAAGGCTGAAAGAATTGGGTTTGTTTAGTTTGGAAAAGAGAAGACTGAGAGGGGATATGATAGCAGTTTTCAGGTATCTAAAAGGGTGTCATAAACAGAAGGGAGAAAACTTGTTCATTTTAGCCTCTAAGGATAGAGCAAGATGCAATGGACTTAAACTGCAGCAAGGGGGGTTTAGGTTGGACATTAGGAGAAAGTTCCTAACTGTCAGGGTGGCTAAACACTGGAATAAATTGCCTAAGGAGGTTGTGGAATCTCCATCTCTGGAGATATTTAAGAGTAGGTTAGATAAATGTCTATCAGGGATGGTCTAGACAGTATTTGGTCCTGCCATGAGGGCAGGGGACTGAACTCGACCTCTAGAGGTCCCTTCCAGCCCTAGAATCTGTGAATCTATTAAATGAAGAACATAGCAAGTCAAGATGAATGCCTTTTAAACTCCATTTTCCTACATTAATCTGCCATCTCCTGCAATGTTAGGAATCACGGGAATTAAGTATGCCCTCTAACTGCCAATTCCTACTCAAAAATAGTTCTGCTACTGCATGGCTAAGCACATGGCTCCTACACTGGGAATCTGTGGAGAAAATGTCATGAAGGAGAAATCTTTATCAAAGTTAAAATTGGTATAGATATAATTCCAACTTTCCTTTCTGGGAAAAATACTGTGTGTAAAACAAAATGAAAACATATCTATCAATTAGATTATATATTTTAATATCTTAGAATATATAATTATATTACAACTAATACAGAAATATTAAAATATTACATAAATATTAATGAAGTGTGTGAAACAGGAGCTCTCTCCCGCCCCTTGAACAAATTAACATTGGAAAAAATTGCATTAACACAGACTTGGTAGCAATCAAGAACAAGCTTTACATGACAATAGCCAGGACAACTATTCAGCTACCTCTGGAGTGTCGATGTCTTGCACTGGTGAGTCACCATCATCATCACTGCCTTTTCTCTTTCTTCTGTTTCGCACACTCTGAATTAAGTTTTTGTGGAAGTCACAAATATAAAGATGTCTTGCCTAAAAAAGTAGCAATGTATGTTTTAAACACAATTCCACACTAGTCTAACATCCAGGAAATACATAATAATGCAAATTACATGTTGCAGTAATTTACCATGAAGTATATCCATCAAGAGGTTCTGGTGACATTAACTAGAGTTTAAGAATTCTGCTTCTACCAGAACCCACAAGATAAAATTTGGTATGCTATAACTTACTGCATCCCATTTGGCCTAGAAAACTCCTTGTATCACTGTACTGCTGCAGTGAGTCAATTCAAAATTGGTATTAACAGGCTGTAGAGAGAGCCAAGTACAGCCCTCTGACATTACTCATCAGAATGCAGGGAATGGGGTATGAAAATTACTTTGCAGTTCTGTTAAATGGACAAAAAAGCAAGATTTCAGCAGTCTCACTTTCCTTAGTTTTACTTCCACCGTCCATGAAAAGTCATTGTAAATAAAGGACTTACACATCTATTTTTTTTAATTTCCTTTTTCTAGGAATTAGCTCATTTTGAGGTTAAGTGCCTAAATACTTGAAAAAATCTGGCAAGAAGTTCTTTTATAGAGGAAATATATACATACACATAGGGCTAATGTGCACCAGTAGCTCCCACTGGCTTCAACTGGAGCTGTGGGGGTGGGAATCAAGCACTTAGAAAGTTAAATTTGGGTTGATAAAAACAAATTGGAGGCCTAAATGAAATTTCTTTACATATATATAAACCGAAACATTGGAGTCCTAAGCTTTTCCTTTTGTTAATGCAAAAGAGCTTTCTTTGCCCATTTAGAGTTCGCTTAAGTTTACTTCACAAGAGCTCTCTCATAAACCATGATTCAAAGAGAAAGCTCCCAACCGCCAACAGAAGCACAAATACAAATTAGCAACCATTTTTCCCAAACCCATTTTTCCCATGAGTTTACACAATCTCTTGAGGGTGGTAACTGTAACAAGCATATTAGAAGCCCCTTTTTGGGCCAGCATCTCTTAACACTTCTGCTGTGTCAAGTAAAAATAAATCGCCTTTTCAAATACTCGTGCATTTCAGTATTCATTAGGGAAGGAAGCCGGCAGACATTTGCTCTGCAGATTAACACTGCTCCGAATCTTAGAAATCTATCTGCTACCAAAAGGTGTTTCTTTCTCAGCAGACTGGGGAATGGAGACGGGGGCTTGTCCTGCCTGCGCACAGTGACACAAGCTTGTGGCGATTTCTCGTACAGAGGAGCACTACGAAGAGCCTGATGGCTGCCAAGCGGAAGACACGGTGGCAAAGAGAGACGCGCAGCATTACAACACGCGGCGGAGCGGCCAAGTGTGCTGCCCTCACTAGAGTCAGCCACACAAACGTGCAGAGTCCCTGCTCTGGAAGGGCGGCGGGGGGAACGTGCAGCCCCCAGCTTCTCCTGCAGTAGGGGGGCAGCCGGACAAACAGCTTCCCTCTGGAATACCAGCCTGACTTTTCCGGAGGGAGAAGGGAAGAGGAAGAAAAAGCAGGAGTCTCTTTCCCCTCCTCCCCCATTACACTGAGCAGAAGCAGTTTAAGCTTCGCTCACTCTTCCAGCGTCAGCCGACCGTACCAAGGGCAAAGCCCAACACCGTTTAACACAGAAGTCTCACACTCGCTGCGGCGCGGAAGGGGGAAGTAGTTTAAGCCTTTGTGGGGGTGACTCTTGAGGCTGGAGTAAGGCTCCGGAGAGGGGGTGAGCTATTGTGCAGTGCGCCCTGCGCGGAGAGCTGCAACGCGGCGCCTTAGACACATTGTCCCGTCAATAGCGATAACAAGCCCCAAGGCGCTTCTCCGATACCCCCACACGGGAGGGCTCCCACCAGTCGCGGATCTCCTTGCCTTGGGGGCGCTCGGGGCCGGTGACCCCGCAGGAGTAGCCGTGATCGCCTGCCACGATGAGCGCACTGCAGGAAGAGAGGGGACTCACTCACCGGCCGGCCCTGACTGCCCCTTACGCCCGGCCCCGGGCACCCTCCCTCTGCCCCAGAGGCGCGCAGCGGCAGCGGACTTGGGGAGGGGGTTTCCCGTCACTTACGCTCTTGTCCAGCTCGATCTTCACCTTCTTCTGTGAGATGCTCTTCTGGATCCTCTTGCTGAAGCTGGCGTTACCGGCGGCTCGGCTGCACCTCTCACCTTCCTCTCGCAGGCAGCACAGCTGCCCAGCCCCAGGGCCAGCACCACCGGGGGGCCCTGCGGAACCGGCGGCGGCGGCACCTGCGGCAGCGCCAGGACCTAACCCCGGCGCCGGCACCTCCACGGTGGCGGCTGCATTGGCCACAACAGCAGCAACGACGGTGGCGGCGACAGCATCCCCCCCTCTCTGGGTCACCTCTTCGGGGGCGAACCCGTTCATTGCCCCAGCAGTGTCCCGATCCCAGCAGAGGAAGCCACCGACCCGCCCGGGCTCCTCACCCGCCTGCGCCGCCCCTTTGTCCGGCAGAGGAGCAGGATCCGTCCCTGCCGCCCGGACTGAATCAAACTTCCCCGCTGTCTGTGCGCTTGGCTGCAAGGGAGGGATTTAAACCTGCCCCATCAGCAGCCGCTCCTGAGAGAAGCAGCGTCCCCTGCAGGGGGCACGATCCTCCCCTTGAGGGTCACCTCCGTCCCCCTGGCTCCCGGCAGACAGAGCCCCCGCAACAGGGGGCACAACCCCTCCCCCAAGGGCAAACAAGGGCTCCTTCAAGGGGCACAGCGAGATCTCCGCTCGGCCCCCCTCCACTCGAGTCGGGGCCCGAAGCTGCTGGGGGTCTCCCTGCGGCGGCCAAGCGCCTCACTCTGTAAAAGCCACGTCCATCCCCCGGGTCACCCCGCTTCCTCCTTCCCCCACTGTCATGTGGGGACTTTTCAGCTGTTTCCTATGTAACAACAGCAGCACCCAGCCTGCGGCTCCGCTCCGCAATGCGCATGCGGGCTCCCCCCCCCTCAGGGGGCTCATGGGAGCTGTAGTTTCTATCATTGCAGCGTCGGCAAGGGCGGGGAGGGCTGAAAAACTACAGCTCCCCAAATGCACCACGCGAGTAGGGCTTGCGGTGGGCCTGGAGGGCCGCTGTAGACGTTTATGAGGCTGCCCCCCCCTCCCCCCACATCTGATGGGGGCGGGGCAAGATTGGTAACTGCGTTCTCCGCTGAACAGGCGAGAGTCCCCTCAGTCCCCGTCAGCCCTGGAGGTGGCGCAGCGCTGGGCCCTGCTACTGCTCTGCTTCCTCATTCAAAAACTGGCAGAGCAGCAGCCGTTAAGATTTGAAATACGTCTGTGTGGAAGAAGCTGAAGCGGAGCCGCTCGCGCCCTCCCCCCCATAAAGCCACTTCTCAGCGGCGCTGGCTGAGCCTAACCCCCTGTTCCCTGCCCGGAACAAGGTCCCTACGCGCCGCTGCTGCCAAAGCGGCTCGGCCCAGCCCGGCAGCAGACCCATCTCTGTCTCGTGGTTTGCGCTGGCGGGCGGAGGCGCTGTGTGTGCGGCGGGTTATTCCGGGTGGTGGTGGGATGAGTGAGGCCTTGCGTGAGAGGCGGGGAAATGACTCCCTGCGCCCCTCGGCGGCTGCCGCTTGGTACCATCAAGCAACAGGCAACTCTGTCTTTGGGAGCTGCGCTTCCCCTCCCCGCGCCGAAGGCGTTTCGCTGGCCAGCCACGGCCATGTTTGCACGCGGACGCCTCGGGGCTGCAGAGCTGCCTGCTGTGTGCGCGGTGACTAGCTCCCCTGCTCCACCGATGTGTGAAAAGGGGCTCGCTCGAGTGAGGCAGCCCTTGCTCCTGCAGCGCCCCTGCTCGTAGTTACCCCCAGAAAAGGCAGGGGAGCTTTTGTCTCCCAAACGACACCGCACTCGCGTGCCAGGTCAGCGGCGCACAAAGCAACTGCAAGCCCGAGAGCGCGATTTCCATTTCTCAGCGCGTTTTTCTCTAGTGCTGTCGTGGCGCACAGATCTCACCGAGGGGTCGCTCCAGGAAGGTTTTTAGAACTTCTTTCTACAAAACCTTTTCCCCCGACCTATCTCTCCTTTTTGTTTTGTTTTGCCCCAGTTCTCTGGGGATAAAGGCTGGAGTATATGTCTGGTTTGGACGGTGGCGGTAGAACTCAGGAAATTGCAGTGTCACTTCTTCAAATGAAAGCAAGTTGACAGCTCTAAACTTAGCCTATGATTGTGCCTGTGTTGACAGAGAATGATTGGTCCTTGCTCTTGTTGATAGCTTTAAACCATATGTAATTTTAGTTAATTTGGAAAGCAACTAGATAACACTATTGAAATTGAGGAATAAGGGTCAATGTAGTTTTTATAATTAAAAGTGACTTTAATTAAAGAAGACTTTAACAACAACAAACTTAGTCCATTTCTTGGCCTGTCATTTTCCTAGATCTCCCTTGCCACTAGTAGGAACATTTCTATTGCAGTAACAGTTTTTTCTATTAGTACAGAGTTTCTCTTTACAGAACTTACAATTAAATTAAAATTTTCTGCTCAGTGTATTGTCAAGCATGATGGAGAGGTCAAAATTAAAGACTGACTTCAAAAGGAGGAACAATTAAAATGGAGGTAATGAGCAGTAAGGGTAAAAGCATTTGTTCAAAACAAATCTAATGTCAAAACTGTATAAAAGTACATAAAAAAGGTTAATTAACATATAAGCATTTAATAGTTCAGTTTTCTCTGGCTGAGGGATAGAATGAAGGGCCAGACTTTGACCTACTGTTTTTCTTCATGTGTTTGCACAGCCCATGGTAATGAGTTTTCCCCTCAGATAAATGGGGATTTATATTGACCATAGGCAAAGAAGTGTGAGTTTAGTCATTGAAACATTAATTCAGTTGTATTAATTACAGAGTATTCAATAGTTACCAAATCAAAACAAGTAGAGTGATTGAGAGGTCAGAGAGTGATTTGAGGAGACAGGTCCTGTGTAAGCTACAATTCTGAGTCAGGGAACCTGATTATAACTATTCCAATCTGTCGTGCAGATGGGATTTTAATCTGATAACCTGGTATTACAGAACATGGTTAAGGTCCCACCTAGACTGGATTTGAAACTGTTGTAATAATCACATAATAACTGAAATTCAGTTGGGCCTGTAGACATGTCAATTACATGGAAGGAATGTGTCAAAGACTGAAGGAGAGTTAATAGAAAACAGTTAGGAAGCTATGGTTTAGTCAGTCTAGTGGGCTGATATAAGGCTGGGAGTCAAAAGACCTGGGCTTTATTCTATATTCTGCCACTCTGTGGACTTGGGCTTTTCTGTGCCTCAGTTATCTCATCTTTAATATGGGGATAATAAAGGCTACATTTGTAAAGAAGTTTGAGCACAGAAAGCCCCTCATTAAGGAAAAAAAAGGAATGTATAGGATAGCAAGCATATAAGGATAATAAGGATAAGGGTGGGTTCCAGGAATCCTCCCTTAGCAAATTTTGGGATACTAATTGCAATTTTCTGCATTTTAGACTGTGTTCCACAATAAGTGGCCAGTATGCCATGGTGCTGAACTCAGTTGCTTCATGAGCATGGAGAGGTTCAGTCACGTTCAACAGTGGTTGAGGGTGGGGGTAATACTCTCTGACACGTGTTCTCAGACATGGTGGAAAAATCAAATCTAGCATAGTCATTATTACTCTGCATGGTTTTGCCTATGTTCATTGCCAAACCATATCTGAAACTGATTTAGCTGTAAGAGTGTTTAAAATTATTTCAACTTGGAGTCCCAGTCCAGCAGTAAGCTCCATATGGCTGGACTCATGAGCCTGCATGGAGCTCACTTACCCTTGACCGATGACCCTCAACCAAATACTGTCATACAGAAGCCACCTGAGCAAGAGAGCTGCAAAGGTCAAGACATGCAACAACCTTCTCAGCAAACTGTCTGGTTCTTTATGGGGAGCAGGTGCTCCAACACTAAGGACCTCAGCCCTTGCCATCTGGTATTTAGTAGCAGAGTACTGTGCACCAGTATGGAGTCAGTTGACACACACCAAACTTGTTGATGTGCAACTCAACTCAACAATGCACATTATCACAGGAATTCTCTGACCCACTCATCTTCCATGACTTCCAGTTCTGAGGCACATTGCTCCCCCTTACATCAGGAGAGATTGCAGCTGGCGAGCTGCTTGAGAATGTATGTTCAATGACCCTTTTAACCCACCAGCTACACCTCTTTCATTGCAACACCATGGTGGTTGAAGCTGCCATGAAAGGATGCGACAGCAGAGTCCCTGTGGTGGGAAAACTGGTACTTAACACCAACCACCAATCAGTTCCTCATCATAGACCCTACTGCTCATCTTCCAGCTTCGACCTGCCATATCGTCAATGGGTCCTTCTTAACTGATTCCAAACTGGGCAAGGACTTTGTACAGCCAACCGGCACCATTGGGGTCTTTGAGACAATCCACGCTGTAGCTGTGATGCAGATCAAACGATACACATTGTTGAGGAATGCCCACTAACCAAATTCAACGATGGTTTCCGAGAGCTCCACTTGGCCACTAAGAACGCTATTGCTTGGCTCTGTGAATACTCAAATGCTAAATAAATAAATCAGTGAAGCTCGCTGCAGGATTAGGGCTTTGGTTTTCAAACATTTCAAAGTTTAGCGTAGACAGTGTCAAGAGGGATTCCATTAGATAAAAGTTGATCCAAGTTTAAAATTTTATAAAATTATAATCTTTTGCAATACTTGAGACCAATAGTAATATTTCCATGTAATTTTAAAAAACCCTGTGGACATTTTTTAAAAATAAACATGCTTACCAAATTGTACATACGGTATCAAACACTACAGCAATCTGCTAATGCATAGAAATTGAATAGAAACAAGACTGAACTGGATGAGCCTGATTGGATAGTTCACTGCTCACAGGTACACTGCGGCACCTGCACCACACCCCTCTGAGTTCAGTGTTGTTCTGCAGGGTAGCAGGGGCAAGGTGAGTTGCAGGGCTGAATCTTAAGATGATACTGCTATCACAGGCAAGGAAATTTGTTTTTGTAAAAATATATTATTTTTAACCTGACAGGATACCCTTTTAAACAACTGAAGATTAACGTCTTCCCTTTTTAGGTCCTGGAAAGTTTATTCTTTGGAAGCCCACTCATACATTATGCTGCACCTAAGGGTGCCACAGAATGTTACTGGAGGGTGGAACCAGCCTATTGGAGAGTGGTTAGGGTAGGAAGGGAAATCAGAGACGTTTATTTTTGGATATATTATTTATTGCATTTGTTTTATTTTCTAGTATTGAGATTATAAAATTGATTTTTTTAAACCCACTCCAAATACTTAAAAAAAAAAAATGCAGGGTCCTATGGTGACCTGTGGTAAGTGACATGATAGCATTGAGTGGAATGTCAGCTGTAGTCTAGTCTTAATGGGCTCTGAAACAAAAAAGTAAGTTTATAGACTGAATTCCCTTTTGATGTAGGGCATTCAGTACCTAACACTTAACTTTTGCTGAAGCAGTTTTAAAATATTAAGTGCCATCCCTTCTGCGCCGTCACATTCCCTTCCTCCTTCCCATCCCACCCTCCTTAGTGGGCTTTCCTTCCTCTAACTTTTGAACCCCTGATCTTTCTCCCAAGTGAAATCTGTCTAAACATAGGGCCCAGTCCCCAAGGTGAAATAACCCTTAGCACTTGTCTACACACAGTTTTTGTGCCACTTTCACTATATAGGTTTGAAACCAGTATAGTTAAAGCTGTACAGCCTTCCAGTGTGAAAAATTTAGCATATACAGGTGCAGATACCAGTATATCTTATTCCTGTATAATTTAGCTATTATTGTTAAAATAATCCACATCCTTATCTAAAATAGTTAAATTGTTACAATAAAAATGTGTGTAAACCAGGGCTTTGTGAGTGATCCAGTTGATCTGATGTGTTCCTTTTTGTTAGTCCTCTGCCTTATATTTTGTACATTAACAGTGTTTATGTAAGATATGGTTTTATTAAAAGATTGAAAGCTGTAAACAAGGTCCAAAAATAAACATTGTATTTTAAGAATAATCTAGGTGTTACAGGATTAAAACTGATAAGACTGAGTACTGTAAAACCTTGGAAGAGTTGTGTACATACCCATTACTATTTGTAGCAATTCAGTCTTTGAATGTGCCATTATACTTTGTCAAAACAGGCTCCAAGGTCCTTCTAGTAAATGGCTTCATTTTTATGTGCAGAGAAGAGTAAAATAGTTATCAGTTGGTGTAAAAAAAAAAAGAGGAAAAGTCACATGCAAGCAAAATATTCTTGTTTGGAAACTAATTGAATGCAAAAGTGTCGCAATTAAATTTTGTATTAATAAAGGATGACAAATTACTTTGCTTTATGAAGCAGATATAGAAGCTAAGGGGTGTATTTTCAAACATAACGCCACACAAATATGTGGGCAAACCTCCAAATTTGCATAGGGTGTCCAGGCTAAATTTGATATATTCTCACCCTCAGAGCCTCCAAAGTGAAAGATTACTTGATGCACATTCATTGATATTACAGTGCAGGATTTTGAGGTTACTATTTCAGTGGTTATTTACCTATCTGTTGTTTTCCTTGACATTTTGTTACATACTGTTATGTTCATCCTAAGGCCATGTAGAGTCACAGAAGAATATTCTCTCCATTTCTTTCAATTACAGGGAAACACTATCTGGAGCATATAGTGAAAATACTATAAGTTTTGTTATAGTAACACAATATAATTTGGCTGTTAATATTCAATATAAGGTACAACAAAGTCTCAGTCCAGCACTCTTCTTTTTTCATTCCTGCTCCCTTTTTTCAAGCTATCGCAGCTATTTTGCTAGTAATGGAAACCCTACCATATCTTCCCAGCAAATATTTGCAGGTCTTGACTTGGATGCATTTTCAAACACTGCAAAAACCAGCTGTGCTTCACAACATTTCGTTTAGCTACCAGTAATCTACAATGTAGATTTTGTTCTTTTGAAACCAAGATAAATAAATTCACAATTGACACACTGTCCTCAGCTTACCCACGCTGGTTAGGTGTTTCCTCACACTAAATGACATCCCACCTTTGCAATTTTGTCCTAGAGGTCACA